ATTTTTCCACCGCCTCAGATTTTATTTTCCACTCACGGAAAATTACGGTTCAGTCCAAACATAGTCTTGTTCACCCGATTCATGGGATAGTTTCTCTCTTCAGATTCTCATGGCTACTCCTCAGGACTTTACGCTAAACTACAATGATTTTCTCAGGTGGTATCAGTTTTATCAGAACTCAAATTCTACTTCTTCTGTTGCACACACTGGTCATTCATTTGCTTGCCTCTCTCATTCATCTTTTCTTGGACTTTGGGTCCTTGATTCTGGTACGTCTGATCATGTTACCGATAATAAAAATCTTTTCTCCTCCCTCGCTACTTCTGGTTTCTTACCTACTATAACTTCTTCCAATGGTTCTTAAACCCAATCCGAAGGAATTGGTACTGTTCAAATTCTACCTTTTCTCCCAGTTACTTATGTTCTCTATGTACCTAATTGTCCATTTAATTTACTTTCAGTTGGTCTTTTAACTCATTCTCTTAATTGTATTGTCACATTTACTAATAGTAATGTCACCCTGCATGATTAGAGTTTGGGACGGACGATTGGCGTCGAATGTGAGTCTCAAGGCTTTTATTACCTCTCAGTGTCATCTTAGACATGCCCAACCAAAGATTCTCCACTCACTATCCATGCTCAATTAGGTCATCCTAGTCTTCTAAAACTACAAAAGTTGGTGCCAAGTTTATCGAAGGTATCTAATTTACATTGTGGGTCGTGTCAATTAGGAAACACACTCGTAGTCAATTTTCCAATCGAGTCAATAAACGAGGTTCGTCCCTTTTTGCTTTAGTTCACTATGATATTTGGGGTCCCTCACATATTGTCTCTACTCTTGAGTTTAGGTATTTTGTCACCTTTATTGATGATTTTTCACATTGTATGTGGTTACTTTTAATGAAAAATAGATCAGAATTATTTTCTATTTTTGAAAATTTTATAAAGAAATAAAAACTCAGTTTGGTGTGTTTATTCGTATCTTAAGAACTGATAATGCTCGTGTGAATACTTATCTCAACAATTTCAAACTTTTATGTCCAATAATGGTATTCTCCACCAAACATCTTTCCTTCATATACCTCAACAAAGTGGGATAGCCGAACGCAAAAACTGACATCTCGTAGAAACCACTCGGACCCTACTCCTTCGTGGTAACTTTCCTCTATGGTTTTTGGGGGATGTTGTGCTCACGGCATGTTACCTCATAAATATCATGCCCTCATCTATCCTTAATAATAAAATCCCTCATTCAATCTTGTTTCCAAACTATCCTCTTCACCTAATTCCTCCCTGAGTCTTCTGGTCTACGTGTTTTGTACACAATCTCTCTCCTGGTCTAAATAAATTATCAGCTCGATCCCTAAAGTGTATCTTTCTTGGTTATTATCGATCTTAAAAGGGTTACTGTTGCTAATCTCAACTCTACAACGATATCTCGTATCGGCCAATGTTACCTTCTTCAAGTCTGTTCCATATTTTGAGTCCAACCAAGTAACTCTGGAACCCTTTCATGAAAGTACTCCCACACCTCTTTCGAAAGTCCCGTTTCCCATTATCCCCCATCAGTCTAGGGAACCTGGCCCACTAGAAAACCCTACGGTTAACCTCCCCCCACTTCTCACCCACTTCAAATATATCAGTGTCGCCAACCCATGTTTTCCGCACCTATCCCTGAGGTAGTACCTAATCCTGAGGTCATTGCAAATTCTCCTTCGACGCCTTCGCCATTATCGAATCTGATTCTAAAACCTGATTCTGATCTTCCGATTTCCCTTCAAAAATATACTTCAAACACATAATCCTTCTCTATATTATATTGATTTATGTTATCATCGTCTTTCCTTTTTGCAGTATACTTATTTGTCTTCTTTTTCTTTTGTTTCTATTCCTAACACTACAGGCGAAGCATTATCCCACCCTCATTGATAGATGAAATGTGTTCTCTTTAAATAAGTGGTACTTGGGAACTGGTACCTCTAATCCCTGGGAAATTTGTAGTAGGTTTTCATTGGCTTTATACAGTGAAGGTTGGACCAGATGGTAAGATCGATCGATTTAAAGCTCGCTTGGTAGCCAAAGGATACACTCAGTTTTTGGGTTGGATTATAGTGATACCTTCTCTCCTGTATTCAAGGTGGCATCTTTTAGACTTCTTTTAGCCATTGTATCCCTTAGACATTGGCCTCTTCATCAACTTGACATCAAAAATTCCTTTATACATGGTGATCTTAAAGAGGAAGTATATATGGAGAAACCACCTGAGTTTGTTTCTCAGAGGGAGTCCTCGAATATGGTTTGTAGGCTACACATGTCTCTTTATGGTATTAAGTAATCTCCGAGAGTTTGGTTTGGCAGATTCAGCATTGTTGTACAATAATTTAATATGGTCTGTAATGAAGCTGACCATTTTCTGTTTTATCGTCACTTTGCCCAAAGATTTATCTATCTTATTGTATATGTATATGATATTTTCATAACTGGAAGTGATCAGCAAGGGATACTCTAGTTGAAACAACATCTCTCGAATCAATTTCAGACAAAATATCTTGGTAAACTCCGCTACTTCTTGGGAATTGGGGTGGCCCAATCTAGAGATCGTTTGTTGATTTCCCATTGGAAATACGCTATAGATATTTTGGAAGAAACAAGGTTGTTGAATGCTAAACCAACTGATACTCCTATGGATCCAAGTGTCAAACTGCTATCCAATTAGGGGGAGCCTCTATCTGACCCAGAAAGATATAGGAGATTGGTTGAAAATTGAATTATCTCACAGTCACTCGTCCAAACATTTTTTTTTGCAGTTAGTGTGTAAGCCAGTTCTTAAATTCTCCTTGTCAAAAACACATGGATGTTGTTGTCTGGATTCTAAGATACATCAAATATACTCCAGGAAAATGTCTTGTGTATGAAGACAAAGGACATACTCAGAAAGTTGAATACTCCGATGCTGATTGGGCAAGGTCGTCCATTGGTAGACAATATTGTGTATTTGTTAGAGGAAACCGTATATCCGGAAAAAGCAAGAAACAAAATGTAGTTGCAAGATCAACGTTGAGGCAGAGTATAAGGCCATGGAGATGGCAACATGTAAACTTATTGTGTTAAAGCAATTGCTCAAGGAACTTCTAATTGAAGAAGCAAGACCAATGACACTTATTTGTGATAATTAAGTTACATTGCACATTGCTTCAAATACCGTCTTCCATGAGAGGACCAGACATTTTGAGATAGACTGTCACTTTGTTAGAGAGAAGATCAAGTCAGGTGATATTGCCACAAGCTTTGTCAACTCGAATGATCAATTGACATATGTGATTACAAAATCTTTTCGATACCCAATAACCAATTATATATGTAACAAACTTGGTGCATTTGACTTATATGCTAAAATTTGAGGGGGAGTGTTGATAATTATATATGTATATGTATATAAAGAGAATATACTCTACAATATTCCTTAGAATATTCCTTAGTGTATTCTAGAATAGGATATGATATCTATGTAATTAATATTAGAATTTGTATTTTCTCTTATGTAATGCATCTTTCGTTGTGCTATTCAGACACACAGTTTATTCAAATGTTCTTAGTCTCTCGTATTTCAACAAATTTCATATGCACCAACATTTAGGAGTTTGATGTATGTTCAAACATGTACCCGACCAAATATCAGTTTTGCAGTTCATATGTTGGGTCAATATCAAAGTAATCCTGAAACGGATCATTATGCAACGAAGGTTCTTAGGTACTTACAAGACATTAAAATTTATACGCTCACATATAGAATGTCAGATCACCTCGATGTGATTGGCTACTCAAATTCAAACATGATGTGTGGATTCAAGAAAATTCATATTTTTGTATATTTTTCTTCTGGCTGGAGGAGAAATATTATAGAAGAGTTGAAAATATTCTATAACTGCTACTTCGGCTATAAAGGCATAATTTATGGTGTGGTTTGAGTTAAGAATTCAATCATTGTGGTTATGGAACTTCATGCTAGGACTTGATATTATCGACGGTATAGTTAAGTCACTAAGTATTTATTATGATAATTTAGCACTTGTCTCTTCTCTAAAAATAATAAGTGTTCCAAATGTTCTAAACATATAAAATTAAATTAATTATTAAGTAATAGAAGAAGTGCAGAAACAAATTCCATTTGAATATATTGGTGTAAATTTAACGACAGTGGATCCGTTAACAAAAGATTTAACGTTCAAAATATTTGTTAGACATGTGGAAAGCATGAGCATTAAGTAAAAGTTCTTGCTAATATTATAGTATATGATTAATATGTGTATAATTTAATATTTATATTGTTAGAATAATAATGCAAGTGTGAGTAAATAAAGAAAGAAATAGTCTTACTTTAGATAAAAATATGGTGATTTAAATATTTATAAGTGAGAGAACCCATTCTCTATCACTTTAAAGTTTTAAATAGACAAGTGATGTGTCTCTCACAAAAGTGTCTAATCATACACTATATATCAATATTTTCTAAAGAAAAACTCTCTCAACAAATGATATTAGAATCTGATTTTGAAAAAAGAATTAACTTACTTGTATTGTCCAGTGAGAAAATAGTCTCACTCCCCTGATCCAAACCCGAACTCTAATTCAATTAAGATTATATTTATATTTAGTTTGTTATCTATATTATGTTAGGTAGATTATAGTTAATATGTGAGGATAAAAGTGTCTCTGAAGAGACCGGAAAAATACATTATTATTCTCTTTAAAATACATTATTGATGCCGTCAATAAATGATACACAACTATAGGTTACTATATCAAGCTATCAATGGTGTTAACGCTTGCTATCCTCTATAAAATAGCCTAGGCATGATGTTATTCTAAAAGAGAGTATTGCATCAAAGTTAGGAAAGAAGGCATGCATACATGTACATTATTTAAAAATTACATGAATGATTAATAAAGGATAATATATTAATTTGTTGTCATTATCTAACTAATCTTCCTTGAGTTTATTAATCTCTCAAAAATCTTGTTGGAAGACCATGCATTGGGATTGGGAATGGACTATATTCAACTCCACTTTCATATCCTTCTACCTCCCACCTACAATTACCAAAAAAATTGAACACAACTGAATCATCATACCACTTTGAATATGACCAAGATATATATAGCTCTTGTAAATATAGTGGAGAATATCAAACTTAATAAAGTTAAAATTTCACCTAAACTTGGTTACTAGATGGTGAATTAGTATCAACATATTCAACTTGGCTAGCTCATTTCCAGGACAAGAGTGCACTCCATTACCAAATGGCATAAATGTATATGGCTTTGGAGAAACCTACAATCATCCAGAATCCAAATTAAGATGTATTCAAAGTCAAAAGAAAAATAACTAGAGATTTATTTATTTATTTATTATTGATTTGATCAAGTGGTAGAAAAATCATTAAATATTAGCATAGTATACCTCAAATCTTGATGGGTCAAAACTCTGAGGATTAACGTAGAATTCTGGATTGTGGTGGATGTTTCTGAAGAGTGGCATTACTTTCCAACCCTTTGGTATTAAATATCCTTAATAGTTGCATAAAAGAACATTTTAGAAATTAATCATGTAGGAAATAGTAAAAGCTTTGAAAATGAAACTTCCTATAAATGTACAAAAGTTTATAGTGTCAATAATTGTTACCCTTGTATACTACATCAACCACAGCTTCCCTAAAAGTAAATGAGATTATACTCGACATCCTTAGACTTTCCAATATTACCTACAATATAACAAGATTTTGATAAGAAATATATTCATGATATTGAGCATTGACATCAGAAACAAGACACTAATAATAACATTGATCCGTCAATATCAATGATTTAAAAAATAATAAATTAAACATAATTAATTATCAGCACCGATTTCATGCACTAATATTAACATACATTCATTCATTTTTTTTCCAGACGTATCGATGCTACAAAAATATATAACATACCCTATGAGTGATTGGCATATTTCTTGTTTGATTCCAACTCAATGGGATCTTCCCTCTTTCATTGGCTTCATATATTGACATTTGCTCTGCCTACAATAGTACAAGACAGTTTAGTTAGTTGATTCAGTAATTAATAAGTGTTGATTTTCAACACTTATGAAAGGACAATTTAATTAAGAGGACCAATAAGAACTGTTACTTTTACTGCTTCAAGAAGTTTCTGATCATCATGAAGGTACTTGAGAATCCAAGTTAAGACACTCGCTGTAGTATCTTGAGCTGCAAATAGTACTCCAATTACATTATCAGCTATTTCCTCATCAGTTAGCATTTCTTCTTTCTCATCTTTGTAGTTTAGCAAGTGACTTAATAGAACCTTCTCAATCAATTTCTGCTCCCTTTTCTTGCAAATTATCTCACTTATAATCTCATGAATTCTCTTCCTTGCCTTTTTAGAACATTTAACCCAAAAAAAAAAAAAAACTTAGACTGAGAAAATACAGAGAATTATAGCTCAAGAAAACAACAAACTAAGATTATATAGTTGTTATGCCAAATATAGAACCACAAACAATATGTAGATCAAAAGTTGCAGTGTAGCATACCAAAAGTGCTTTGGAGTATGCAGTACCAGGTATCCTAGTTGGAAAAGAATTGTAGCCTTTCTCTACAATGCTGTAATTCTCCTTAAGCTGTTCTCTGTAATTGTTTTCCAAGTTACCAAAGACGGAGAGAATCCCAATATTGAAAGAGAACTGTCAAGAATCAACCAAACCAAACAATGATGATGACAGATGAAAACAAAATTCAACTCTATGCAATAAAAGTATCCACAATAAGACAAACCTTTTTCATTTCACAGAAAGCGTTAATGACATGTCGAACAGAAACCCAGGATTCCAAGGATGAAATGACTTGAGTTTCAATATCCGGGATCAGTTTCTTGATTGATTCAGGAGAAAGCGAGGTTTGAACAAGCTTCCTAATGCGAGTGTGATAATCTCCTTGATGGAAGAACAATGCAGAAGAACCAATAAGCTTTTCTTTGCTTTTGGGGTATGTAGGTTTGAACAGATGAGAATGAGTCACCAACACAAATCTTGCAGCCTCTGGACTTGCTAGCATCACGCAAGGACATCCTAGTATATGTGTTTTAAATATTTCTCCATATCTGATTACCATCATTGAGTTAGTAATATATATATATATATACACACACACACCAAGTTTAAGGTTACATAAAATAATATATTAAGAAACAAAATAAAGAACCTTTTTTGTTTAGAAGCAAAGAAGATATTGGGGTGTTGAGAATAGAGTTGAAGGGTTTGTCCTATGTAAGGCCAGCCCATTGAACCTGGAGGAAGCTTAGGCTTGGAAGTGGGTTTGTTTTTCTTTATGAATGGAAAAGAGATGACAAGAGTTGAGAGAAAAAGGAAGATGCAAACTAAAATTGCAAAAATCTCCATCTTAAAGTCAATGAATGATGAATGAGCCATTTGTGTTGAGGTTGATTGATATATATAGTGGCAGGAGATAGCATGGATTATAGAGTTGTTTAATATTATTGTGAAATAGCATGATTTCAAACATAATCAATTGTGTACAGTTTGGGTTTGAAATTCTACATTTTAAAGGAGGCATATATGCGACTTGAATTGGCGTAGAGTGATGTAGAAAGAGAGAGGTGTTTGGTCGGTAGTCGGCACAACGTAGAGTTTTCTATGCCATTCTTTTCCGGTCTTTGTTACAGTGTTAGTTGACAAAATAAGATACATCCAAGAGAGAGGGTAGAAGCGTAATGCCAACATTTGTAAACATAAATAAATCAATGAAGATTCAAGATTAGTTATGTATATTCCAGATATTTAATTTCCGCTGACTTCAAATATTGGGCTGGATTCTTCTCAATTCGGACTCGCCAAGAGAATATGTCCATTTAGACAAACCGACCCAACTAACATGACGAATTTCTTAATGACTCTATGACTTTCTTAATATTAAAATGTCTTCAGATTCTTGTGATGTATCTTCGAAAGTATTTTTATTGTTGAAAAAGATCCTAAATCAGTGAAAGAAATTAATCGGAGATGCATTTACAGAATACTTTCGTAGTTGTATCTCCGGACGTACTCCAATTTCAGTGTATGTGTTATCTTAAGACCAGATGTCACGATTGAAATATTCTGGAGATATATCTCCGACATCCTTTTGTAGATGTATCTCTAGATGGTTTTGTCTCAAATACGCGGCACCGTCCCTTCCCCTTCCTCAGTTTTAGATATTCATTTTCAAAATTCATTTTGTCCAGACACCACCCAACCCCATTGTGCAAAATTTCATAAATCTTCATCAAACAACAAGCAAGCTTCGTCAAACATCAGTTTTTTCAAACTCCATTGAGCAACAAGAACCAAGCTTTGGATAGAATTTGTAAGTTGTTTTTATATTTTTTTAGTTGATGTAAAATAATTTAGAATTTGAGTTTTAGGTTAGAAAATTGGAATATTGCAAGTGTTTGCTGGCTTAGAAATACGGTAGAACGTCTTAGTTAGGTTGTTTTGACGATCATCGTCCTTTTTTTATATCCTCTTACCCTCCAAGCGGTCATTGACACTATCTAAGTTGCAGGAATTTCCGGAGATGCTTCTCCGAAATTTTTCAACGTGTAAAAATCGGAGATGTATCTCCGGAATATGCTTGCATGTATTACACTTGCTTTATTTAAACAAGAGTCATTGTGTAACGTTTGTTTTGTTCTTTTACATAAGTTATGACTGATAGACATTCTAGGTTGAGACATAACAGAGTTGCACAACATGCTTCAGTTCGTAGGGAAAATATTCAAGCATCCCAGACTCCTTCTACCTTTGGGCAGGTTGTGGCGGAGGCGACGTCAGGTTCTGAGGTTCATGTCTCTCCGCCTTCTTCTTCGTTCTCTTGCAGCAGGCTAGGTTCTCCTGCTCATGCCTCGCCGCCTCCATCTTAACGTAGACGCATGAGTTCACCTATACATGTACATGAGGCATGAGAGGCATCACAATCCCAGGCCACACCTAAGGTACCCCAGTCTAGGCCACACTGGCGGTGCCTAATGCATCCTAGTCCCAAGCGGCACCTGAGGCATCCCAGTCCTAGGCCCAGACAGATGAGGCCGTACATGCGGCATCTGAGAGTTTTAGAGGAGGGCATTTCAAATTATCATTGTTACCTCTTTACCTGGACCATGTTGCCAGACATATCTGAGACGGAGAGATAAACATTGGTTGGAACTATTAATTTAAAAATGGTTTGTTTTATTATTTTTTGTTTGTTTGAATCATTCTTAGTAAGTTATGTATGTAGGAACGTGATCCACTAAAAATCATCAATCATATGCAGAAGATCAGTCGCCTGGCAGAGCCCAATGAGCCATGGTTTCAGGAAGTGTTGCAGTTATCAGGATTACAATATTGGACCCTGACTGGTTATACTACAGTTAATCATGGTATGATTAACACTTTTGTTGAGAGATGACACGCAGAGATGTCATTGTTCCATCTACCACAAGGTGGTTGGCTTATGGGTCACGCAAGACGACTCGTCATCAGCCAGAGCACATAATGTGTTAGTTCAGTTACATGTAGTATATTCCCATACATCATGTTGTGTCTGCTCTTTCCCTGGTGAAACACATGGATATGAATGCCATGTTTGATGATTATGTTAATCATATGGTACCAGATGAGGCACGAAGAACCATAGCACCAAACGACTTGAGCAACATGGATGATTACATTCGATGGTTATTCCAGGTGTCCCATCCATATTTGATACAAGATGCTCCAGGACACCAACCTAAGTCAACTCATCAGAAGATTCTAGAGGAGGAGCCGACTAGGGCCGATCATGCGCGTGATGTCTTTCCTAGGTGTCATCATATCGTGAAGATTGGGTAGGCATATATTGATGGAAGACTTTTTCCTGATGGCTCTGGGTGTTATAGATTCCATGATAGCGGAGGCTCAGGAGACTCTGCACTACAGGAGGAAGCACATGAACACGAAGAGAGTGCAGGGGAGACTCATAGTCCGACATACGTAGTAGTCTTGACATTTGTACACTTGATATATTTTGGATTGTATTTTGTTATCGACTTTGGTGTAACTCTTGATACTCTTGATATAATTTGTAGTCTTGACTATTATCTATATATATATATATATATATATATATATATATATATATATATATATATATATATATATATATATATATATATATATATATATATATATATATATATATATATATATATATATATATATATATATATATATATATATATATATATATATATATATATATATATATATATATATATATATATATATATATGTCGTTGTATTCATATCGTTATTATAGTCGAATCGGTGAAAATGTTCTGAAGTTTTACATTTTGTAGTGTTCATATGAGAATCATTGAAAAATAAGTTGTGGAATTGTCTGCATAAAATTCGGAAATGCATCTTTAAAATATTTACGAATATGTGTTGACATAATAAACTTACGTTCACCAAAAAAATGGTGCATTCGAAGATGCATCTCCAAAAATTGAAGGGCGTTTTGGGAATTACATAAGGTGTTTCTTGGGTATATAGGGTGCTATAATAAATCCTCCTAATATATTCGTGTTGTACCACAAAATTTTCCCTTCTTATTTGGCTCTCACCTGGCTTAGGCTTTACATTCATCTGCATAAGCTTTCATTAGGTCATTTGCATAAACAGTCATTCATTCATTCATCGAATTTGCATTATTAGTCGGTCATTCATGCATTTAGGTTGACCAAAAGTCAACTTAAATCAACATTTGCGTCATTTGAGTTAACAAATAATTGATATCTCACTTCATACACTTTTATCTCTTTACACTGCTTCACTAATTGCGCCAAATTGATCATATTTCAATAATATGGATATTTTGGTTCTACGGGCAGACTGTTAAAAGCGATCGAAATTGTGCATAAAATTAACAAGTAAAATATTTTGAGTTTTCATCTTGAGCTGACTTTTTTATAAATCTACGTTGTGCGTAGATCATTTCGGTATGATCACTTTATTTTTTCGGTGCAGTTGGCAATCTCTTTTTTAATTGTCAGTGTATGTTCATCCGAATATTTTTATTTTAGTTTTATTTTCGGTTTTGGTCATTTGCAATCTTTTTTATTAAACTTTGTGACCCGTATTTTTTTTTAATATGCTTATTTCTTTGTTTCGATTAATTAGGTGTCCCTTTTTTATCGTTTTTTATTATTTTCGATCTCCTTTTTTTGTCAAAAAAAATTGAAACGGAAATATTTTTGGATGTGTTTATTTTTACTCTTTTAGTTTTTTAGGTTGTTTTTTTATCAAAAAGGGTATTTTTGCCATTAAAAAAATAGAAAAACCTAAGTGTTAGTATAAGAATAGAGGGTATCAGATGAGAGGAAAAACAACACAGAAGCAAAACGTGAAGGATTTCCGCTCTCCATCAACTCCCTTCGTCCTCTTCCGCGGCTCACTCTCCATCAACTCCCTCTGCCCACAAGTAATTTCCAGTACCTCCGCTCCACCACAACCTCCAACAACCACCTAACCTCATCCATTTTTTTAATTGGTAATCTCTATATCTTCATCACCATTTTTAATGGATTTAATTTATGGATTATGAATGAAGTTGTGTTGATATTTCTGCACTGTTTGTGTCAATTTGAGTGTTAGAATTTTGATATCAATACCATGTTATTTGAGCTAATTTGAATAAAGTTTTGATTTCATCTGTGTTAACTCTGAATGTTAAATCTTGGTGATATTATTTATGTTATTCGGGTTAAATCTGATTGAAGTTCTGATGGGATCTGTGTTGACTCTGAGTGATAAATTTTGATGTTATTATCTGTGTTATTCGGGTTAAATATGAAGAAATTTTGATAGAATCTGTGTTAACTCTGAGTGATGATTTTTGATGTTATTATTTGTGTTATCCGGATTAAATTTGAAGGAATTTTGATAGCATTTGTGTTAACTCTGAGTGATGAATTTTGATGTTATTATTTGTGTTATTCAGGTTTAATCTAAAGGAATTTTGATGATATTTGTGTTAACTTTGAGCTAAATTTGAATGAGGAATTTTGGTTGTGGCATCTAATTTATTCCTATTTGCTTTGAACATGTTTGATTTGAGAATTTTTGAGCATTAATTGTGTTCCTCTTGTTGCTGCCTGGGTGTTAATGAGATGCTAAAAATCTTGTTTCAATTGTTGTTTTGCTTATTTTTGAGTTTAATTTGAGTATACCATGAGCTTATTTATAATTGGTTTTGGTTTTTATGGGTAAAATGGGTTATTAAGCTTGTAATGTGGTTGAAGTTTGTTTTGAGACTTAAAAGCTTATATGAGATTTTTGGTTGCAACTTATCTTTTACCATTCACTTTGTTAGTTCACAAATT